ATATATATATATATATCTGTGCTATGGACTCATCCCTCTCAGAAATAGATTAATCTTTTTCCAATCTTCCATAGGAACAAGAGCTCCTAGAGGTATTAATGTCTGCTCAGTGTTGTTCTGCATCACTGTGAAATATTTCCTCCTCCCCAATGAGATACTGAAATGGTAATGAAGACAGTTGGTGAATAATAAACCCAGGGATAAACAGGGGCAAAATTAGTTAGAAGCAAAAAAAAAAAAATTGTATAACTGAGAGGGATTTGGGGAGAGAAAGGGGATGACTCATACTCAAAATTATGCAGCAGGCAGAGTTAAGTATATAAGAAATTCTAATATTGGGATATGCAGTTTAAGTATGGCAGAATTTCAGAACTGATCTGTGCCACTAGGCAGACAATAAATTAAGCTCTGATTATACACAGTCATCCTCCCGACTTACACTTCCAGGACCGACACAAAAAAGCCAAAAGCAGAACAAGGATTCAAGTCCCAGGCTTGACTGCTCTGCTCCTCCCCCAGAGCCTACTCCTACTGATCTTGGGAAGCTACAGTGGGTTTCAGAGCAGGAGCTGAGAAGGATGGTAAGGTCCATGTACAGGCTTGAGATCAAAGGTCCAGAGGGAGGACATGGCTGATGCAGTTGGACAAAGGGCAAGTTCATAGGTGGGAGGACTTCATGCTGTGCCTTGGAGGTCTGATGCAGCTGACAGTAAAGTCCTTTCTACATTGTGAATATATGAGCAGAGCTCCCCAAGCTCTTCATCCTGCTACTAGTCAAATGGGTCTTAGACACTGTCAGTGAAGGGTCTCTCTTAGAAAAGCTGTCCTTGCCATTGCAAACTACACTAGCTCTCCCTAACTCATTTCAGGAGCCCCCGTGGTTACTTGAAACCACAAGAGAGTCCAAACCTTACATATACTATGATTTTTGCCTTTGTCTATTTACCTCTGATAAAGTTTAATTTTAAAATTAGAGAGAATAACAAAAAGTTGAACAACCACTGAAAGACATTTTAATAAAAAAAAAAAGTTACTTAAAACTTATGGATCATTTATTTCTAGAATTTTCCATTTAATGTTCTTGGACCAAGCCTAACCACAGAAACTGAAATGGAAAGAAAAGCACCGTGAACTGTGTCCTGACAGGAATTGTAGGTCAGGTCTGCAGTAGGAGGGCCTCTGTGGCTTCTGCTCTCAGGTTCTTTCCTCTTTGGGTGAGAATACCGTTTGCAGCAGGGATGACTTACAGATTGCAGGCTGGTCTTGTGGCCATTTTATAGTTTCCTTGAACATGACAGGCTGTTCTTTTCCTTGGTTTTCATTCTTTTTATGGCTTCTGATGTGTTTTCAGGAAGAAAAGAGGATTAAAAGTGATTTTACACAGACATATGCTCTGGTATAGATAAGAACCCCAAAAGGCACGTGTGATAAAGGTTTGTCCCCAGATTGGTGCTACTGGAGGTTTGTGGAAGCTTTAAGAGGAATGGCCTCGTAAGAGGTCTTTAGGTCACTGGCCATGCCCTCAAAGAGGATAATGGGACCCAGCCCCTTCCTTTTCCTCTCCCCGTTTGGCTGCCAGTCATCAGGTGAAGAGTTTGGCTCTGTCAGGCACAAAGCCGTGGACAGAAACCTCAAAAGCTCCAAATCAACATAAACCTTTTCTATTTAAAAGTTGTTCAGCTCAGGTATTTGTTACAGTGCCAGAAAGTTTACTAACACAACATATTTAACCAGAAAGTTATAGTTTAATTTACTATTTAGCATATTTTGATTGTAATTAAGTGAATGTACAGAGGAAGTTTGATGGTTTAGAGCGTGAAGTATCAAATAAGTTTAAATCCTGCCTCTATCACTATGAACTCCTGGATCATTGACTTAATAATTCTTATTTTTCAGTTCCCCTTATGAAAAATAAAGGTAATAGGATATCATTGATCAATTTATTTTCGGGCCATTCCATTAAATGAACATATGCCCTGGAGAATTTCTCTCTCTCTCTCTCTCTCTCTCTCTAACTCTAACTCTATCTCTATCTCTATCTCTCTTTCCCATCCTTGATTTCTTTCAAAGACTTTTAACATTTTTATGTATAAAGTCTTTATTCTAGAACATACATTAGATGGCCATTTAGTATGCATAGTTGAATATGGGAAACAATGTTTACTTTATGAGCAATTTAAAGAATTTGAAGAGCAGTTCAAACTGGTAACAATTTTCATTTTATATACTAACACTAAAACCTAACCTCTATGTAAGGTAGGGGTCCATAAAAAAATGCATTTAAATGGAGTAACACCCATCATCACTAAGCACTATGTCCAGTATCCAAATATTATTTTCTCCACCCATCTCCCAGATCTCATTCATGGACTAACTCCTCTAACAAGTTCTTCTCTATCAATGGTAGTTGTAAGTCTGAGATCAAATGAATCAACAGAATTATAGAATATGTTTCCTTTTCTACAATCATTTCGGGCACTACTAAGTTTGAATAAGGTTTGAGTGTGTCCCCCAAGGGTTCATGTTTTGGTGGATTAGTCTTTAGTGTAGTGATGTTTTAGAGGTAGTGTGGGCATTTTTTGGAGGTGGGTCCTATTAGGATGTCCTTATGTCATTGAAGTCAGTACTCTTAGGAGTTAAACTAGTTCTCATGGGACCCCCTGGTTAGTTCTCAAAAGAAGGTTGTTATAAAAGAACCAAGACTGACCCCTCTCCCTGTCTTTGACATCCAGTCTCAAGATGTGATCTCTTCTTGCCACTCATGCTTTCACCATTGTGACACATCTGCCATTAGATCCTCACCAGAGCTGAGCTGATGCCTGCATCATGCCCTTAAGTCTCCAGAAGGGTGAGCTAAATAAACCTCTTTTCTTCAAAAGTTAGCCTGCCTCAGGTATTTTGTCACAGTATCAAAATACAAACTAAGGCACCTAATGACATCCTTGCTGGAGCCATCTCTTAAACAACAAAGGAAATTAGCTAAAGACACTTTCCATTAACACTTCACTAGTCATATTTTCTTTTAGTTGAACTTTCATATTTTATCTTTAAAAGATGTCTCAAAAATAATTAGGACAGATATCTAAACTCATGTCATCTTAGACATTATGCATGTTCAAAGTTTCTGTCTAGCAATTTGAAACAATGTCAAGACAATTCAGTTTCTTGATTTCTTTCATTTAGCAATCACTTAAATAATTGAAACAAATTATCTAAGTCATATCCTTCCTTATTTATTCATAATTATCCAATCAATTGAAGTACTTTCCTGTACTTTTCAACCATAATATAATAAGTACTTTAATCAGATAAGTTTAAAGTTTAATCAACTAAGACTTCTATGTCTATGGAAATGTTTTAATAATCTAAATTAAAATCACCTATGATAATTCACTCACTCCTTTCAATGGTTTTAGGTAGTTCCAGGAGCTGAGGTTAACCTTTCAGGCTTGGTGTTGTATTAAGCCAAAATCATTTTTTTAAACACAACATAAATTGCATTTTAACATCTCTATAGATTTCCATATTGACAAGAAGAAAGTACAGCAAATTCACTAAGTAAATTTAAACAAAATTGCCTTGTGTTATTAACCATTTCATCTCCATATTTTAAGGATATGAATTTGCTTGCTTAAGAATCATCTGACAGACATTCTAGTGCTTCTATTTTGAAGGGCAGGTGGGCTCCATGTCATTAGAGTCTATACTGAACCAGCCAAGGTAAACAAACTATTTGCACTTTGGAAATGATCCATGCTATTGTTGAAATTCAATTAGTGTGTGCACATGCATGTCTGTTACAGAAAAGCAAAAGAATATAACTGGGTAGACAGGTAATTACAAGTAGGTAAATTCTGGACTACTGGGTTATCAGAGGCAAAAATCTACTAAGCCAGAAAAACCTCAGATGATCTTTCAGTTCACAGTAATATCAAATACTATGAATACCAAATACTGTGAACTGAGGCTTTTTTCCAATTATACATTCTATTAACATTTGAAAAAATGGCTTTTTGTTTTGTTTTGTTGTTTGGTTTGGTTTGGTACCAGGGATTAAACCCAGGAGCTCTTCCCCAGCCCTGAAAAATGTATAATAATACTTTCACTCAACCCTATTAAAAATGTATTTACCTCTAAAATTTTAAAATATAGAAAAGTATAAAAAGGATATAATAATAAATATCCTACGATGTCAATATTCAGAGATGATATACACACATAAATATGTGTATATACATTCATGTACAAGGACATAGGCAAATGAATGTTTTTGAATTAGAACTTTACTACTATGTATGCAGTTGCTTATCTGTAGTTCTTCACTCAAAATGATACCTTTCTTTTTCTTTTGTTTTCTTTTATATTGTTATAACAATATAACAAATATATTGTTAACTATATTTCCAAAACATATTTATTGATAGCTATAAAATATTCCTATTAGATGAGAAACTCCGTGAGCATAGGGACTAAATCTAAAGGGTTCGGGTAACAGTAACAAACATACCATAATTTGTTTAACCTTTTCTCTCTTGTTTGATGTTCAGGTAATTTCCAAGGTACCACTGCCATAAATGTTGCCCTGTTATTAGATGAATAAACTTTCCCAGACTCTCCTTTTCTCCAATAGCTGTTTATTTGTTATCTCTCTTCTACCCTCAAAGAAAATTCTATTTTTCTAATAATTCTTTGAGCTTTCATGATACAGAGTAAGAAGGGAAGAGGTGAGGTTGAAGCTGAAGAATAAGAGCTATATTGGCTAGGATTGAAGGAGGAAATTTCTGAGATTTTTGGAGGATAAGATGCAATAATAGTGGTGTTACAGAATAAAATAGGATTAAAAAAAAAAAAAACTATTGCCATGGTGTGTGTAACCTCATCACTGAGTTTTTAAAATGCAAGTACAGAAACTGAAGTAGATTCAGGGTTTTTGGCTTTTTTTTGTTGTTGTTGTTGTTTGTTTTGCCTGCCAATATGTGCTGGGAGCCATTAGCCAAGTAGGTATGACAGTTTCCTTGCCAGCGTACCCCATGTTGCAGTGACATTGAATGTAGGTGACCTTGTTCAAGGACCAAGGCGGATTAGGGCGTTCCCGGTTTAGGTTCCAGGTTTAAGGTTTAAGATTATTCCTGCTGGGAATAGGGCGTATCCTGCTGCCTGAGTTCCCCTTCAGTTCTCACGGGATTCAGACAATATATTTGGGAGATAGAAGCCCAGTGGAGGTGGATTTGGGCAGAGAACGTGGATTTCCCCAGAACGTGATTGTAGACGGCTGGTGTGAGTTCGGGAATAAAGAGTTGCTGTTTGAATCTACAAGCTGTGTGGTGGCTCGTGATTGTGTGCCCAGCCAGACTGCGGCAAATATGCATACCTGAGTATTAGGTAGCTTAACTTTTGAAATAAAGAAAACCCAAATCACAAAGACTTAACACCACTAAAATTGATTTTTCACTCCTGTCTCTGCAATGGTGTGTACACTGAATAGACATCATGTGATAATTGGGATACTCAGATCCATCTATGTGGTGGACTTCCCACAGGGGTCTTTCCAAGTTCTACCCAGAGATGAGGAAGCAGAAGAGTATGGAAGAGTCTATGGGAGTTGCAATGGGCCTCTGGAGGTGGCAAACATCACTTTTGCTCCATTCCAGTGCTAAGAACTCGGTCACATGTTCCTCATGTGAAATTTTAAAATGCAGTTTGTTGTGGCACTGACAGCCAACCTCTGCTATCATCCCCTATTCCGTAAGGTCTTAGCACAACTGTTATAAGGTGTCAGTGTGTTCCCCTGGCCAAATGAAGGACACAGGGCCCAGGTAAGGCTATTGACATAGCCTTCCTAGGTATTTGAATTTTTAGTAAAGTGAAAGAAGGATGGAAGTGAATTGGAGTTGATTTACCCTGATGGTCATGCCCTGTCAATCTCTTCATTTTTCCCCATAACCTGAATACCCATTTATATAAGAGCTAGACATTCAGCTTTTCCTCCATACCCATGATATGCCCACATTCTTCAATAAAGTCCTTTTTTCCCCCTAACTTGGCCACAACTATCTTTTGTTACTTATGACCAAAGGACCCTAGCTAACATAGGACGTGAAGTATTTTGAAATTATGTTTGGTTGTTATCATCATTCATCAGTGTTTCTCTGCACACAATATCCCTTTTGGGTAGTGGCTTTATAAGTTTTACACAAATAAAGTTGAGATAAATTGATTTGTCCACAAACCTTTACTCTTCTTGATTATTTTCTTAGGTCAAATGCCTAGATCAAGCACATTTTATTGTACTGCAATATTAATAATGTACTTAAGCCATTTAATATCACATAAGATCTTTTCATATGATAAACATTCCATTTCAGCTTTAGAAAATAGTTATTTTGAGCCAGGCTCAGTGACAAAAGCCTCTGATTCCAGCTACTCAGAAGGTGGAAGCAAGGGAATCACAAGTTCAAGGCCAGCCTGAGTGATGAAGTAAAATCCACCTTCAAAATAAAATTTTAAGAAAGGGTTGGAGTTATAGCTCAGTGATAGAGAGCACTTGTCTGGCATGTGCCAGGCCCTGGGTTCAATCCCTAGTACTGAAATTTTAAAAAAAGGGAAAAAGAAAAGAATGTTTTCACTATTCTGAGTAATTCAAACACTAGAACACACCATCTAACTGTTAATGCTAAAGTTAGATGAATGAAGCTAATCATGAATGAACAAACCCCTGTAGAAATTGCAGATGCAGTATAAGCTTTCCTAGAGAGGGATGTCCTTAGCTGAAGGAGAAAGACAAGACTGTGTCATTCATTAGTGCAACTGTCTGCTGCTTATTTCACTTGAGGTGCAGTTGGCTCAGATTCAGTGGAGCCCACTCCTCCCAACTAACACCCCTCCCATCCTCATCTCTCTCCCTCTACACCGTGTGGTCTCTGAGCCTTCCATAAACCACCAGGGCATATTAAGTTTTGCCCACATAAATTAGTCATGTCTTTATGAAATTGCACATGAGGTCTTGCTGTCACAAGGAGACACCTTCTTTTAGAAGGATTTGCTTGTCTTCTTGGCTTAGGAAAGGAAATAAGAAATTTCAGGATACAGACATTCGTGCTTTTTACTGAGAGAAAAAGCTTTTCTCAGCCTAGCATATTTAGGGTAATTCTTATACAATATTATGTTCAACTATGAAATTGGAATAGCTGTCATCTTTCACCATTTATTTCAGGTGTGACCAACATAGCCCAGGGTTTTTTACTGTCCTATTTGTTGTACTACTTGAGAAATACATTCTTTATTAAAATATTACCAGTTGCTAAGTATTATTTCGAACCAAAATATAATACATAGTTAATCCCCCATATCTGCATATGCCACATCTGTAGATACAAACAACTGATATTAAATCAGTACTGAACATGTGCAGATTCTTTCCACAGATCATTATTCTCTAACCACTACAAAATGACACTGTGAAGCATTTACATTGCATTAGGTATTATAACTGATGTAGACAAGATTTACACAAATTATAGGCAAACAATGACATTTTATATAAAAAGACTTGAGCACCTGTAGATTTTTTGGTATCCTTTGGGGTTCCTGGAATCAATCCCTTGTGGATATAATAGATAACTGTATAAAGAAGCACAAACATAAAATTAACCAAAGGAAAAAAAACGTTAGCCAAGTAATACCAAAGTACAAGCAAACAACCTTAACAAAAATAGGGTGGAGGGGAACCAAGATGGTGGGCTATAGGGAGTCTGTGTTCCTTGTCACTCTGTGACCTGGGATTCAAGCAGTGGGAATAATGTTTCTCTGTGAGTTATTAAAAGATCTCCGACAGCTGCTCCACGCAAGAATCCCAGCCGCCTTATACACACAGGTCCTCCAGCCTCAGCATCTAAGCAGAACCCCAGGTCACTTGCCCATGAAGGACCCCCGGCCACCTTGCCCAAGCAGGATCCACAGCATCAGCGCCCACACAGGACCCCAGGCTGCTGCTTCCATCTACTAGCCTGGGGCTCCCCTGGTTGCCTCCATGTTGGGAAGCTGCAACTGTTGCCTTAGTCCTCTTCAGGACAGAAATTGAACCTGGAGACAATGGACAGAGTCCTGAGACAGCCGCCCTCACAACACCCTGACACCCCATCTCTGAAAGCAGCCACCTCCATCTTGGGACACCTTTGTTACCATCTTGGGTTATCCTCACTACTGGCATCGCCATCTTTAGTTGGGGTAACTCCGAGCTTGGGACACCAGCTGAGGCCTAGAAGCAATATCAAGGTACCTATAGTCCCTCAATTCTCCCCTCTCCCCCACAGCCACTAACTGGGCACAGTGCTTGCAGCTACGTGGGCAGTCTACAGCTCACAAAGCCTTGACCTGATCTGCCTGATATAAAACAGCTCTGTGCAACAGGTGAGCAGGCCCCAGAACACAGCCTACAAGACCTCTGGACAGAGTGGTTCCTGATTGGGAAGTAGAAATGAATGGGGTGAGTGAGATAGTTTAGAGACTAAATTAGAGACCAGGAATTGTGAGGCCTATGGGAGATATAAAGAGATAAAACCCACATCACAGGAGTGGGCCCCAAAGGAGATTCTTGGGGTGCAGTCTTCCAACAGGGACCGGAAAGTGCTATACCCTACCTCCAGGAGTTCCACTCCCAAGACCAACCCTCCCACCCTAATAACCTTCACCATCCTGAGGTTAGAGATGCCAGCAAACAACAGACAACCCCACCTACTGAATGAGAATGGAAGCAGGAAAAATACTGAACCAACAGAAACAATCCTTTAATTTTCCACTGAGATTTTTTCTTTTCTTTTCTTTCTCTTTTCCTGCCCTCTCATCCCCAACATTTGTGAAACGAAACACTTTTTCATGCATTAGGCTATAGAGGCCTGGGATGTTTGAATAGTATATTATAGTTGTGTTGTATCTTCTTTTATCTTCTATTTTTACATTTTTTCTTTTTCATAATTTTTATGTTTGTTTGTTGTACTCTTAGAAGATGGAAAGATCTGCCTTGTTCTTGGATAGGCAGAATTAATATTGTCAAAATGACCATACTACCAAAAACACTATTCACATTTAATGCAATTCCAATCCAAATCCCAGTGACATTCCTTATAGAAATTGAAAAAGCAGTGAGATGAATAGAGAGCCTACATTTTGGGAGCAAATCTTTTCCCCTCACACATCATATAGAGCACTAATCTCTAGGGTATACAAAGAACTCAAAAAGCTAAGCACTGAAAAAACAAATAACCCAATCAACAAATGGGCCAAGGACCTGAACAGTCACTTCTCAGAAGATGATATACAATCAATCAACAAATATATGAAAAAATGTCCAACATCTCTAGCAAATTAGAGAAATGTAATTCAAAACTACTCTAAGATTTCATCTCACTCCAGTCAGAATGGCAGCTATTATGCATACAAACAACAAAAAGTGTTGGCGAGGATGTGGGAGAATAGGCACACTCATACCTTGCTGGTGGGACTGCAAAATGGTGCAGTCAATATGGAAACCAGTATGGAGATTTCTTGGAAAACTTGGAATGGAATCACCATTTGACCCAGCTATTCCTCTCCTCAATCTATAACCAAAGCATATACTATAGGGACACAGCCCACAGCAATGTTTTTAAGTCCTTAGGGTATAGACCAAGGAGAGGGATAGCTGGGTCAAATTGTGGTTCCATTCCCAATTTTCCAAGAAATCTCCATACTGCTTTCCATATATGCTGCTACAAACAGCATTTAAAGGACTTAAAAACATTGTTTGTTAAGTTTATAAATGTTTATAGCAGCACAATTCACAATGGCTAAACTGTGGAATCAACCTAGATGTCCTTCAATAGAAGAATGCAAAAAGAAAATGTGGCATATATACAACATGGAATATTACTCAGCAATAAAAGAGAATAAAATCATGGCATTTTCAAGTAAATGGAAATAATACTAAGTGAAGATAATACTAAGTGAAGTTAGCCAATCCCAAAAAAACCAAATGCCGAAGGTTTTCTTTGATTATACGGAGAATGATGCAAAGTGGGATAGAGAGAATGAGACTAATAGACAAACTCTAGATAGGACAGAGTGGTTGGAGGGGAAGGGAGGGGGCATGGGCTTATTAATGATGGTGGAATGTAAGGATCATTATTATCCAAAGTACAGGTATGAAGACACAAATTAGTGTGAATATATTTTGTGTATAACCAGAGATATGAAAAATTGTGCTCTATATGTGTAATAAGAATTGTAATGCATTCTGCTGTCATAATAAATAAATAAATATGAAAGTGCTTTTAAAATACCACCTCCCAAAAAGGCATGGTAGAACCATTTTATGAGAAAATTTATAAACAAATAATATTTATTTATATAAATTATTTTGCTAAGCCCCTGAGATAAAGGGATATTTCTAAATAAGTGTTACAAATAACGTAACTCCCCACATCCAATTAAGCAAACAAAGAAAAGCTACTGACAAAACTCACTTATGATGTGAATTTGGTGTTAACATACCTTATATACAAACAGAGATATGATAAATGGTGGTATAAAGGTGTATTAAGAATTGTATGCAAAAAAAAATGAGAGCTCATGCATAATGGCATAATGTGGTGTGAACATACTTTATATACAGAGTTACAAAAAATTATGCTGTGAATGGATAAGTATAAGTGTAATGCTCTCCACTATTATCATCTATATAATAAATAAATAAATAACTGGCTTATGAATATTGACCTCCCCCAAAAAATATCCTAGAGAAAACATTAGGAAATAGAATTAAATGACATGCTCAAAGAATATTAGATTGTCAAATATTGTCATTCTAGACTTCAAGTATAATTTTATAATAGTAAGTGAATTAACATACTCTCTTAGCTGCCCCGAACAACATTTTATTCATTCGAAATCTATTCTTGATTTAAAGAAAACAAATTGTGATATAGGTTTGGATGGGTACTGCCTAAATATTATTTAAAAATACATTTTGCAAATCTAAGGCCACAATTATATTTAGTGAAGAAATAATGGAAGTCTTTCCATTAAAGTCAGAAATAAGATAAGGTTGTCTTGCATCATCACAATTATTACATATTGTTCTGAACATCCAAATGAATGCAATTAATTAAGAAAATGAAAGGAGAAATACAAAATGGAGGATTCAAAATTATTGTTCCAGCTAGTATAATTTTATATAATTTATACTTTTCTGTGAATGTCAGGGGGAAAACACTGAACATTTCTGAAATTATTAAGAATCAGTGTCAAGTGCTGTGGTGTACACCTATAATCCTAGTGGTTCCGGACCTGGTCACCGAGGTCTGAGTGAATGTACATCTGCTGGACATAAAGCCTAAGGCTTAAGATTTTTGAACTTAGCATGCAGAGGGAATGTATGTCATTAGCCTGTCAGGATTAAGTGTGTTTTGCAGTGCTTAGAATTAATCTAGAATTGTTTGCTGTGAATTGATTATGTCTATTGCAGCGCCCAGCATTAAGGATTGCAATTTTCTTGATTAAGAACCTATAGAGTGAAATTGTATTGAGTACTTTGAGTGAAAAAATCATTGAAAGGGGCAGAAATGCATGGACGTTCTTTATTTCTCCCCTCGACTGCATACGGTGCAATTTTGCCCCCTTGCGACGCCCTGTCTCTAAATAAAATACAATATAGGGCTGGGGATATGGCTCAGTGGTCAAGTGCCCCTGAGTTTAATTCTTAGACCAAAAAAAAAAAAAAAAAAAGAATCGGTAAGGATCAGTAAGGTAGCTAGTTTCAAAATAGGTACATAAGAATGCCATTGTTCTTTTCACATAGCGGTGATAAGCATTTAGACCAACACATTAGCAATGGCAATACCATGTTAGAAAAAAACTAAAAAGAAAATACCATGTTAGAAAAAAACTAGAAAGAAATATACAGCATTATGAATTATAAGATTCTACCAAGAAAGATGAAATAATGATTGAATAAGTAAAAGACATAGCTTATTTCTGGACAGGAATATTTGGTGTTGTAAAGATGTCGATCTCTTGAAAAATTTACTATAAATTTTTTGTAATCCTACTAAAAATCTCAACAGGGCTAGTTTAGAATTTTTTTTTTTTTAAATTATTTAAAAACTCATCCATGAAGATACTAACAATAAATATGAAAGGGAGGGAAACACGAACACATTTCCCTTACTGGATAATAACGCCTTGTACTTAGCAATAATTATAACAATCGTAACAACATAGATGGCAACATAAGGAAAAAACAAACAGCAGAGAATTCCACAAGCAGACTCAAGTACTAGCAGAATTTATTGTATAATGAATGCAGCATTTCCAATCACAGGAAAATAATAATGATTCACTAAAATCTTTGGGGCAACCTTGTTACGGGAAAAAATTAAATTTCACAAATTAAGTTCCAATCAGATTAAAATTTGTTATAAATATAATAAATGAAACAAAAGAATTAGTAAACACTTTTAATAGCAATTGTGTCGAACAAGATTTTCTGAAATTGACACCATAGCCAGAAACCAGAGAGGAAATATACGTGGAATTTAGATATTTCTGGACAACAAAAATAAAATACCACAATTACAGAAGTGTGAAAGATACAGGGGGAAAAAAACATTTAGTAACACACATGATGGATTAAAAAAAAATTTCTACTATACAAAGAGCTCTTCCAAACTCATTGCAAAAAGAAAAATGATTCTTAGTCAATCCACAGAAGAAATTAAAATGGAGAAAATAGAGGTTCTGTTTCATTATTTTCTAAAATGCAAACAGAAACAATAAAAGAAATAATTTAAAACCATCAAGCTGACATCATGAATGAAGACATAGAAATTAGCCAAGGGGAAGAAAATAGGTATTATCAAAAACTGATGATGAGTATCAATGAATACAACCATTCGAGGAGGCACTTTTCTCAGTCACATCACAATTACAATAAATGTTGTGATTTTTATAATCAGTTATAAATAAGTACTATTTGATCCAACAATTGCATCTCTAGAAATTTTGTACAAAGAGATAATTACACAATAGGGAAAACATATGTTTAAATACGCCTACGGTTGTCTTTTTAAAACCTAAATTAGAAGCACAATACCAAATATCCATCATTAGATGGTATAATAGCACCGTAAAAATATAGATATAGCTTTTTATCTATCAATACAGAATCACAAGGAGAGGTTGAGAAGCCAGAATACAGAAGGTCATTTTCCAAACTGCCCCCAACGCAGGACCAGGAAAGATGACAAACAGCCTCTCTTTGAGGTCATTTTTTTTTTTTAATTCTTACTGGAATTTAATACTGGACTCTCAGAATGGCCTAGGTACACAGAAGGACTGATAGAATAAAATAAAGAAAGGTAACCCACCGCAGCACCAGCAATCACCATGCGCATCCACAGCAGTCGGTCCAAGAGCGAGACTATGAGCATCCACATTTCGGGTGGCACTGAGGAATATCTTGAAATGAAGATTATAAATGAAGATACTCTCCATATAATCCAGTATGCGACCTTTACTTAGCTTTCTTATAAGAGGGATGCTGCGCGTGACTGCGCAGAACACTGTCCGGCGCCATCTTTTCTGCACTGCGCTACGGCAGCCCGCAGGCTGTCTGTCCATTAGGTAATAGCCAGCAATGCGCAGTGTACGCAACTACCAGCAATGCGCAGTGACCGCACAAAGCAATGCGCAGTGACCGCACAAAGCAATGCGCAGTGACCGCACAAA